GGCGTTTGTGCCGCCTCCGCGAGCGGGTCCCGCGTAGGTGGCGTGGGGGCCGGTCTCGCCGCGCGTTGTCGCGTCGTCGCGCCTGAAGGTGTCACGTTCAGGGCCTGAGCTTCTGACTCGTTCCGCGATGCCCAGAGCGGTCGGTCTTTAGCGCGCCCTGGCCTGGGCAGCGGACTCTGTTCGCTGACTGCATGATGCAACGCGGTTGTTAAAACTCGGACTCTTTTTTTCCTCAGTGTGAGCTCTTCCCCTGTCAGTCTCCCAGTTTTGGGAAGTCCTGGGCTTGCAGCAAGCTCTGTATGAATAGCCATGGGCACCTGGCGTTGCTTGCAGAGTTAGCGTCGTAGTTCAAAAGTGCTGTGCTAGGTGCTAGGTGTGTATATGAAACATAGCTTAGCCTTATGGTTGCGCTGGTAAATACATACCTAAGGGAAGGCCACGTTAAGGTTGTGGTATAAAGTCTAAGCCCGTTTCACTGCAAACTCACAGTATCAACGCAATTTCTGTTTTAATTAATATGCTATTTGACGTTATACGTTCATTTCTTTGCCCTATTGCTGATCCTACGCGGTACATTTAAATCTTGGCAGCGTTGTTATATGTGATGATAATCAACGTTTTTTAAGATTGTATTGTTGTATATGATGACAATCAATTTTTTTAGGTTTTTTCCTTTGCACGTGCAAGAGTGAAGTTCCTTCATCCTGCAGTGAAACAGCTTTATATGCAGTATTAGAATGTAACACTTTCCTCGTACAAATAATTGTATTATTAGGATTTACACAGCACACCTAATATGCCTGTACGTCACCACAGCTCAATTTGATATTATTCAGCAATGATGTATGTGTATTGTCATGCCTTTAATACGTATGTATATGAGAGTATGTTATGATGCTCTGAGATTGATAAGGCAGTGGGCAGATATGGGAAAGAACAAGAAATACGGCTCTCACTTGAACCTTTCCCCCACTTTTAGGAATGATTCCTTTATTTCTGGACTTCTAGTCCCT